AGGATTGGAGGTAATCCAATCCAACCAGAACCTTAGCGAGAGTCCTGTCTGCAAGAGCCTTGACAAGAGGTCATCCCATGTCCTCTTGAAGATCCCCCCAGGGCTGGTGGATTTATTATTCTCCTCCTTCTCCACCCTCCTCCACTTCCACTTTTGAATTTGAGTTTGTTAGGAAGTACCCCCCCCCTTACATTAAGCCTAAATCTGCTTCTAGGCAACTTCCACCCACTGCTTCCTAGTCCTGCCCTCCAAACCCCAACAATATAAGTCTAATCTCTCTTCCCCTAGATAGCCTTCCTACTACTTGAAGACTGCTAAGAAAAGTATGTGTGTGGGGGGAGATATGGAAGTCATCTTACTTTCACATCCAGGGAAGCAGTGTTGGCTTTAGAACCCCTGTTTCTATCGAACCCCTGCCTCACAGGCTGATATGGTTAAGGGGCTCTTTCCTGCCCGACCCCAACTCCTCCTATGGGAGCTCAGTGATGAGGGTAAAGATAGATTTAATCATACCCCAGAGAGGAAGTTGCAATGAGAAATCTCCAAGTACTGCACGACTGTAAGCTTACGAGGTCTTTCTATGACAAAGGATAAAGAAGACTGGGTGATTTAATTTCAGAGGATGATGGCAGGAGGTTGGATAAAGCTTTGATCACAGGTGAAAGACAAGATACAACCATAGATATTGATAGTACGGGTAGTGAGCTGTGATTGACTTAATTGGGTGAGGAAGGCAAATACTGCCACTCTTTGCTTTAGCCCATCCTTGAGAAGCTTGATGGCTACTGGCTGTAGCTCTGAGAATGCCATAGCCCTCTGGTGGTCAGAGAGGTTTTGTGTGTGAGTTTGAGAGTTGGTCAATAAACATTTATTAAGTACCTACTAAGTGTCAGGCTGTGTGTGTGTGTGTGTGTGTGTGTGTGTGTGTGTGTGTGTGTGTGTGTATGTTTACTGCATTGCTTCTTGCTTATGCTATTGGTAAGGTCTTCAGTCAAAAATAGGGAAGAATTCCTAGAATCTTAGATCTGAGCTAAAAGGGAGGTCAGAGGCCATCTAGGTCAACCCTCTAATTTTCAGGCTTTGCCACCATTGGCAGTTCTCTCTCTGCCCTTCCACCTCCTGAAGTCTAAAACCCCAAGTGTAGGAAGAAGAATGTAGGTACTTCTGTTGAACAGAAGAGCAGGTGTTTGGAGTGACTCATTTTTCTTTTCTCTTTTTTTCTCTCCTTTTTTTAATTACTTAAACTTAAATATACAATTAGAAAGAAAAAGAAACATGATAAACTTAAATATAAATTAAGAAAAGAAGAAAAAAGCATGTCATGTGCACAGTGTCATTTTTTACCCATCTAATATTCTACTGGTGGGAAAAAGAGGGGACAGAGGCTCTTGAGTAGCCAAACAATAAATTCAGAAGAATTTATTATATTTCCTACTGTGGATTCAACAATGCCACATGCACTACTTCTGGATGTAGTGATCATGTGACAGAACGTGTGTGTGTGTGCGCGCGCGCGCGTGCGCTCACTTTTCTGAATTACAAAATCTCAGATTATTTTCCTTACTGCTGCTCTTCCACCACAATGACAAATATGTTTTCTTCCCTTCTTCCTCCCTTAAAAGACCAAGGATTGAGATTATGTTTACTTACCTTTGTTTACTTACCACCTGTGTGACTATGCCATTTCTCTACTCAAAAATTTTCAGTGACTCCCTTTTGCCTCTAGGATAAAATACAAAATCCTAAGCCTGGCTCTTCAAGCCCTTCATAATATGGCTCCTACCTATTTTCCAGGCTTACTCCATATTGTTTCCCTTCGCACATTCTCTTTTCTGGACAAACCATTCTGTTACTTGTTACTCCACAGCACCTTTTCATCTTGATTCTCTCCGTATGTGTTGTGCCCCCTTAAATCCCCCTACATTCACCCCCAATTTCATCTTTACAATTCCCAGCTTCCTTCAAAGCATGTACCTCATTCCCACCTCCTACACAAAAGGCCTTCTGGATCCCCCTAGTTGCTAGTATTCACTTCCTCTTGAAATTTTTTTGTATAATTTTGCATGTAATTTGTATTTATTTTATCTGTGTACATGTTGTACCTCTCCAGCTTACAATATTGGCTCCTGTAGTTCAGAAACTGTATCCTTTTTTGGGCCTTTTATCTGTACCACATAGTACAGTATCAAGGAATTTAATAAATATTTGTTGAATGTAATTGACCTTGGGCAAATCTTTTTTGCCATTTCTTGGGACGACAGTTTTTTCTTCCGTGAAATGAGACAGTTGGATTCACAGATTGATCTCTGCTGTCTTTTCTCTAAGCCTTATGACCCTAAGTTTAGCAGAATGGGCTGCTCTACCAGTATGTCTTTCTGGAGAAAACATCTCGGTAAGTGCCTGAAGGGCTTTCAGGGAGCAGTCTTCTATCAAATGCACAGCTTGAGATAATTTAGACACAGCGATAGCTGCTGGAGTGTTTGCGTTGGCACAAAGTGGGAGAAGTGGTGTATGGGAATGGGCAGAACGCGCATCTAACTAGGATTATAACTTGTTCTTCTATGGTGACCAAGTGTTGAAGGGATAGTATTTGAGGCTATTTTATTTCCAGTTATCTTTTGGTGTGTGTTAAATCAGATGTAGTATGCAGTGAAAATAATAGTCGCTTCCCTCTGCCTCCCGGAGAGCCATGCCATATGACAGATTCCACTACCTTTCCAATAAGGTAGTGTTTCTTTTGTATGCATTTGGCCTGTGAAAGGGACTGACCGCTATTGTTTTTGTCCCTCAGGCGGCACTCAGGTATGTAGGGCCAGCATTCTGCTCCTTTCCTCAACCAGGGGACCAAGGGAGCACCTCTCTTGCAAGCAGCAGGAAGTTGGATTTCTTGCCTTAACTCAGTTCACTACCTCTGCTGACATCTGTAGTCTCATCCTTTCAGGGCTTATGTTAGAAAGGAGAGGGAGGCCAAGCAAGCCAGCATTTGAAAAGGCCCATCTCAAATATTTATTGTATGTAGCAATGGCATCCATATCTGTTTGCATATCCCTGTCAGTAAAGCAATTTTTTTTTAGCATGTACTTTCACTATATTTATATTTATCTATTTGCAAATTACATGCACGTACTAATATTATGTATGTTAGAAAATATACTCAAAATAGAAATTAGAAAGGATGTAATTAAGATGAAATATATAATTTTATAGTTTTTATTTAATTCTATTAATGATAACCTTTGTTCTCTCTAAAATGGTAATAATTGTGATTGAGCATGTTTAATTGTTTTTTTTAAATCTTGGCTTAATATTTTGTGATATAACAATTCAAATTTTAAGTTCTCCTTATTTCAACATTTGGTTTTATTGTCTGTCATAACTGAAAAATTCTGGAAGATGTGTAGATCCACATGTCTCATGACTTTCATTTTTTTCCTGCTGTCTATGAGGGCTTTATTTGAATTTTGGCAAATAAAGTTCCATCTTCCCTGATGTCAATCAATTGTTCTTGCAAATTAATTTAAAGTTGTTACATTTTTAATATTTTTTTAAAAATGAGCTCAAAACCCATAGGAACCCTTTGTTTGGAAGATTTAGAAAATCAGAAAGGTTAGAAATTAGAAGGTTAAAAAATTCTGTTTCTGAATATTTTAAGTGTGCAGATATGTGTTTATGTATGAGACACACATTGTTTCAGCAACAGAAACTTAGTTTTTAAATGACTTGCTAAACACGATGGCTTCATACTATTATTAGCTAATAACTCAAGGCATAATAAACACCTAGGGTGAGGTTCATCATTAATTCTAATGAATGTAAATCCATATTGCAAATCTTTTTGAAATTAAAAAAAAATTTTTTTCAGCCAACTGCTTATCAGGTTTGATTAGATTGTCTTTGTTTTCAACTCAGAATGTGGCAAGTGAAGAGCCCATCATAGTAGGAGGAAAAGTGTCAGCGCCCCCACTTTTGTTTTTGTTCCCCTGTGTTGTCATTATTAGTTATTATCTTCAGTCTCTAGATAGCCAGCAGCAATTTTTTAATCTACTTGTTTGTTTTTTGAGGGCTGGTTAAAACTTGATAATGTAGCTAGCTCAGAAATCCACTTATCCAGGTATGTGAAAGTTGTACTCAGTCATAATACCGAGTAAATGAACAAGTGACCCCACTGTCCTTCCATATTTTGAAACTCTTACTCTTCTTTGAGAATATCTTGTGTGTGCTAGGGAACACACAACTGACTGTCTGACTGACTGTTATGGATTGAGTGAGGGTATGGGATTATATATTTAAATTTTACTAAGGCTTAATTTTTTTTTAAGATTAAAAATATTAATAAGAGCTCTGATAATTTCTTCCCGCACCCTAGGAGATGTTATTTGAGCAGTCCCTGGAGAGCGCTCTACTTTGGAGCTCATTCGTATGGAGGGCCTGCTGAGTGGCCAGGGCAGGCTCTGATTGATTACTTCTGACTTAAGTTGGGACTGGCCTCACAACTGAACAGAGGCTGAACTCAGTTCTCACAGTTCTCGGTCCTAAGTTTCAGATGGTTTTATTTCCCACCATATTAGCACATAGAAATAACTTACATTGTGCACTTGTGGCCGCCAGGTTCCTTTGGCCTTTTTTTCCCCATTGTGGGAGGAGCAGGGTTGCTGTAGTCTAAGAACAACATTTATTTCATGCCTGTTGTTTGGGGGAGTGAGGGACACAAAAGAAGCTGATTACCTAATCTCTCTGTTCTGGAGCAGTTTGAAATCTAGCTGATACACATAAAAGCAATTTAAGATCATGTACACTGCTAAAAATAGCAGTCATAGGTTCATAAATCTCTTATTTTGTAAAGTAGAGTCTGAGAGAAGACTTGCTCAGTGTTGCACAGGTGAACACAGACACAGAGCATCGAACGAAGATTAAAGTAACGTACACAGATGCTGAGGAAATGAAGAACAAGACGTCCTACTTATTATGAATTATTGCTAACATTCATGTATCTCTTTAAGGTTGGCGGAATCACTCTATATATTATTTCATTGGATCTTCACAGCGACCCTTTGAGGTAGGTACTCTTATTATCTCCATTTTGTGGATGAGGAAACTGAGATTGAGAACACTTAAGTGACTTACATAAGGTCACACAACTAAGAAGTGTCAGGGTCAAGATTCCCACTCAATCTTCTTGACTTCAAGTCCACCAAGCTCTCAATCCTCTGCACCTAGCTTCCCAGCTTCCCTACTTCCTTCCGTTCCTTCAGCTTCCCTCTCACCCCACTTTGAGGGTAATATAAGCACATCCTGATGACTTTCATGCTTTTAGTTATGAATTCATAGGTGACTTCATTTTGAAGATGTACTCTTTACATCAAGCCAGGTCAGACAAACGTGAGATGTGTCCTATCTTAGGTATGTCATGATATGTCATGCTTCTTGGCCTTTGGACAAAAACTGATGAAGATATTCCATATGTGAAGGGGAAAGTGAGGGCTAGTTATAGGAGAAAAGTACCCACTTTGTTCATCTTTTGGATCTGGGGTCAGGGAAACGAAGACCAGATAAATGGCTTATCTGTAAAATGGGACTATTGATAACCTGGTTGTTTGCTGTCTTTCCTATATCCACCTCCTAGCTTTTTGGGCTTCCTTCAAGTCCTAGTTAAAATCTCACCTACCTGAATCCTTTCCTGACTGCCTCCCTTAATTCTAATGCCTTCCCTCTGTTGATTTTTCAGATTTATCCTGTCTATATATAGCTTGGTTATACATAGTTGCTTGCATCTCTCTTCCCCCTCTGCCTTTCCCCCATTGAACTGTGAACTCCTTGAGAGCAGGAAGGGTCTTTTACCTTTCATTGTGTCTCCAACACTTAGCACAGTACCTGGCACATAGGTACTTAATAAATGTTTAGTCATTGACTGACTGACTGACTGGTTGACCTGCGACCACCTTGCACCTAAGGTTGTTGTGAGGAATAAGGGGTTAATGTCCACTGGGAGTCTGAGAGCCCTGGATGAGGAAGGTACCGTATAAATAGCGTTGTTGTGGTGGTATTGAATGCTCTGGCTTTGTTCTTGTATCTCTGGTATATGACTTCCGGTATTTAGCTTCCCACGTGTTTAATCACTGGAGGTATTTGCATGTAAACAGCCCTGTTCAGCTCACCTGCCATAGTGGAGCCAGTACTAGATTCTTAGCCCTACTGAGGAGTATTGGAGTTGGGTTGGGAAATCTCATTTCCTTCTTTAAAAAGCCCCCAGGAATCAGGAATGAGAGAAATGCAGAAAATATGCCCCACGTGCGGAACTGTTTCTGAATAAGGCATTTATTGAAAAGGTTTTGCAGAAGGCGGCATTTAATTTCAGAGTTATTTGTGCTGCTCATTTGAAGTGGTTTGGTTAACTGCTTAGGTGCCAGTCCTGGGGTGTGAATGCAGCTTCCCAGCCTCACATTACAAAGACACCAGGGAGCCCTCTGGAGGAATGGGCACTTATCTCTGGGCTCAGTTTCAGAACCTTATTACTTAGTGACTTCACCAGAAACTCAGGCCTGTGTCTTCTTTTTAGTTATGTTTTTTTGTAGACAATAGATTGGGTGGTTTGGTTTCCTCATCAGTCAGGCCACTTTCTGGTTTTATTAAGATTGTTCAATACATTCACATTTAAAACTATGAATGTTAGATAAGTGCAGGGGTAAGGAACCTTCAGCCTCAAGGCCACATGTGGCCCCCTAGGTCCTCAAGTGTGGCCCTTTGATTGAATCCGAACTTAATAAAAGGATTTGTTCTGTTAAACTTGGACTCAGTCAAAAGGCCACACCCAAGGACCTAGAAGGCCGCATGTGTTCCCCACCCCTGGACTAGTGTTTTTCTTCGTTTGTTTCTTCCTTATTCCTTTTTTTGTTTGTTTCTTTCCTTAGTTTTGTGTGCACTGCTTTGAGCCTAATCTCTTCCCAAAGGCTGTCCCCAACCTTTCAAGTAGGTGTTACCTACCCTATCTCAAGTTCTTTGAATTTACTGAAATTGCTACATTCTCTTCCTTTTATTTACTTAGTTATTGTTCTCTTCCTCTTTTCAAGGTCCCATCCTAGGCCCTCTCTTTTCTCTCTCTGCCCTCTTGGTAGCTTTATTAGCTCCCATGGGTTTCATTACTGTCACTAGGCAGATGGCACCCAGATCTATGTATGCAGCTCCACTCTTTCCCTAGAGCATCACAAGTAGGCTATTGAACATAGCCAAAACTAAATTCATTTAACTTTACCTCCAAAGCCTCCCCTTTTGCAAACTTGCCTAACTTTGTCAAAGTCCTCGCCATTCTTCTAGTCTCCAAGTTCATAATGCTGGTACTGTCTTCAATGCTTCACTCTCCCTCAATCCCTATGTCCAGTCAGTGGCCAAATCTTGCCAATTCCACTGGGACAACACGTCTCATACCTGACGTCTTCTCTGTTCACATCATTAGTGCCTCAGTTTAGACCCTTATCATCTCTAGCCTAGATTATTTCAATACCCACCCCCTTCGTGGGTCACCCTGTCTCCTCTATTCCCACTGTATTTTTCCACACTGCTTGCCAAAGTGATTTTCCTTAAAATCATACTCTGCCTGTGTTGATCCCCTACTCAGCCGACCCCACTGGTATAAAATATAAGTCCTCTGATTAGCCCTTAGACCCAACCTATGTGTTTAGCCTTCTTGAACTTGACTCCCCTCCCTCTGCAATCCAATAAACTTGCCTTCTCTTTCCATATCAGCTGCCTCTGCCTTTGTACTTACTAGTATCTGCGATGCATTCTTACCTCATCTCTGCCTTATAAGGTCTCTCTCTTTCTTCAAGACACAGCTCAAGCATTACCATTTTTATATGAAGTCTTACCTGATTCCCTCCACTCCCCTCCAACTGCTTGTGCCCTCTCTCCCAAACTACATCGTATTTGGTTAGTTGGTATTTATTCTGTGTATGCGTGTATTTAGGGCAGCTAAGTAGCACAGTGGATAGAGTATCGGGCCTGGAGTCTGGAAGGCTCATCTTCCTGAGTTCAAATCCGGCCTCAGATATTTACTAGCTGTGTGACCCTGGGCAAGTCACTTAACCCTGTTTGCCTTAGTTCTTCATCTGTAAAATGAGCTGGAGAAGGAAATGACAAACTGTTCCAGTATTTTTGCCAAGAAAACCCAAATGGAGGTCACAGAGAGTTGGAAACAACCCCATTAAAATATAAGCGCCTTGCAGATAGGCGATTGTTTCATTCTGTACATTTGTATCCCCAATGTCTAATGCAATTCTTGGCACATAATTGTTGATTCCTTCTCTTTTCCCGGTTGTTTAAGTAATTAGTTAACAATCTCACCTCCTCATTATTTCTGTTCCCTTCCGGTATGTTTTGCCTTTTATTTTAAGAGTCACAGACTTACCTGTTCCTGCTTTGTTTTCTCTGTGCTCCTCATGGGGTTAAAGTTTCTGAAGAAACAGGTTTGAACTCTAGCCACCTTCTATGTAATTCCCTTTGTAGTAGAGGCAGCCAGGTGGCACCGTGAGTTAGAGTACCTAACTTGGAGTCAGGAAGACCGAAGGTCAAATCAGAACTCAAGTAAACACTGCCTGCCTCAGTTTCCCCCTCTGTAAAATGGGGACAATCATAGCACCTACCTCACCTAGTTGTCATGAAGACCGATGAGATAACAAGCACAGCACTTTACAAATCTTAAAGAGTTGTAGAAATAGTAACTATTATTCCTGGCCCAAACCTGGCAGATCCAACATCTGAGAAAAAAAGGTGAATTTCTTGTTTTTGAGGAGCGGAAAAAAAAAAAAAGGAGAACCCTAGTGATGTGCTAGTGCAGCCGGAGGAGACTCCTTTTCCTCACATAGCATCTCCCGTGTTAGTAAGAGACAACGGGGGTCTTTGTTCTCTTCCTTCCCTCTCCACAGACCTGCGTAGCTCCCCAGAGCCGACCGCATGTCAGCTGCTGGGTTCTTAGATCTTTGGAGGTGAGAAGCTGGCTACTTGAAAGGCCGGTCTCCAGAGGCTGGTGCTTTGTTGGCTTTCAGAAAAGCCGTGGCTAAAGCAAAGCTAACCTCGCTCACACCTGTTCCTACAGCTTCTCTTTTCTCAGAAGCCCTGGAGGGTGGTTGTTTTGTTTTGTTTGATTTTTAACAGTGAAGTACTGTGGGGGCCTGCTCTGTGTAATCTCGGCACTGGCTGGGGGCCAGACCTGTCACTGACTCACAAGGCAGTGAATGGTGCCAAGGTGAATGAAATTGCTGCCCACCACTTCCTTTGGGCTTGGGTGGGTGGGAAGAACAGGCTTGGAGTATGGGATTTACAGCATCAACTTAGCTGCCTCATTGTAGTCCTGGTCTTTAGACCAGGCCACGTCTTTCTGGGCAATTGACTTTTCCTGTTTGAGCAGTTCTGGCCCATCCTCCTGCACCTTGCCCCTCTTCCTGGGGCTTTAGGGTCTGAGGACTGCTCCCCAGCCTTGGTTACATCCTGTCTAGTCCTTTTGTGCTGCGTTTCTGAGCTGGGGAGAACACTTTTCTCCACCCACCTGGGAACTGGTTGGATGAGTTTCTTTGGCATTTGGGTCTTTCTAGTTGAGGTCCCTTAGAAAACAAGTATGGGGGTGGGGTAGGGGGTTTTGTTGGATGGGAAGGAAGACTCTCACACTGCGATTTGTGAAGAGGTGACAGATGTGGTTTGTGGCTCTAGGTGTCTGGCAGGGTTAGCTGGTTGTCTCTGAGATGTTGTACACCCATCTGGGCATTTTTGCACTTCTATATAGGATCATAACATCATAGTTATAGAGCTGGAAGGGGCCTCAGAGACCCATTTAATTCAATCCACCCCTCTCCTTTTACAAATGGGGAAACTGAGACTCATAAAATTGAAGCGACTTTCCCAAGGTCACATGAGTATAGTAGTAACTGTCAGAGGTGATAGCTTCTAGGCTCTATCCCCAGGGCCAGGAATGAGTTCAGGTAGACCAGAGGTAAAACATATTGGATTAGCTTTTGATTTTTCTCTCAAAAGGAGGATGCAGATTAAGCTTGAGGAAGGGGTAGTTTC